GGGACCTCCTAGGAAGGTTTCGTGCCCCAGGGGAGGCGCAATCTATAGCAACAGACGTACATAAAACATTGCGGATTAGAGCCACAGGAGAAGGGCAATCTATAGGAACACGCGTAAAACACCAAGGACTCGTGCCCCAGGAGAGGCCCAATACATAGGAACATGAGTAAAACATTTAGGATTGTGTACACAGGAGAAGGACCATATATAGAAACATACGTAGAACATCAAAGAATCGTGCTCCAGGTGAGGCCCAATCGATAGGAGCATACGTAAAACACATGGGATTGGAGCCACTCCTGTTGCCTTCTGAGGCCTCCTGCTCCTGGGGCCTCTCGGGGCCTCCTGTTGCCTTCCGAGGCCTCCTGGCGCTTCCTGTTGTCTCCTGGGGTCTCCTGTGGTTTCCTGAGGCCTTCTGGAGCTTCCTGGGGCCTCCTGGAGCCTCTTGGGACATCCTGTGGCCTCTTGAGTCTTTCTGTGGCCTCCTGATGCCTCCTGGGACCTCATGTGGTCTCCTGGAGCCTCCTGGAGCCTGTTGGAGCCTCCTGTGGCATCCTGAGAAGAATCTGCGCCCACGAGCCTGGCCACCAAAACTAGCAAACCGATCGAGACATCCTCAAAATCTGGCCCACCTGGGGGGTGAAAATGAGCGCCTCGCTCGAGACATCCTCCAAATCTGCTCCGAAAGCGAAGGATGTTGGGCACAGAAACAAGCAAACCGCCTGAGACATCCCCACAAAATGGCCGCGAACGAGCCCGTGCAACCACCCCTGGCGGCTCCCCTTAGGGGTGCTGAAATGAGCGCCTCGCTCGAGACATCCTCCAAATCTGCTCCGAAAGCGAAGGATGTTGGGCACAGAAACAGGCAAACCGCCTGAGACATCCCCACAAAATGGCCGCGAACGAGCCCGTGCAACCACCCCTGGCGGCTCCCCTTAGGGGTGCTGAAATGAGCGCCTCGCTCGAGACATCCTCCAAATCTGCTCCGAAAGCGAAGGATGTTGGGCACAGAAACAGGCAAACCGCCTGAGACATCCCCACAAAATGGCCGCGAACGAGCCCGTGCAACCACCCCTGGCGGCTCCCCTTAGGGGTGCTGAAATGAGCGCCTCGCTCGAGACATCCTCCAAATCTGCTCCGAAAGCGAAGGATGTTGGGCACAGAAACAGGCAAACCGCCTGAGACATCCCCACAAAATGGCCGCGAACGAGCCCGTGCAACCACCCCTGGCGGCTCCCCTTAGGGGTGCTGAGTATGAGTAAGTCTGTGTATGAGTAAGTCTGTGTATGTGTACGTCTGGGTATGACTAATACTGTGTATGAGTAAGTCTGTGTATGAGTAAGTCTGTATATGAGTATGTCTGAGTGTGAGTAAGTCTGAGTATGAGTAGGTCTGAGTATGAGTAAGTCTGAGTATGAGTAAGTCTGTGTATGAGCAGGTCTGAGTATGTCCGACAGGAGGGGAGGAGAAAAGAGGAGGAGGAAGGAGGAGGAGTAGGAGGCGTCCAAGTAATAACAAGAACCCCATCTTAGGATATGGGGAATAAATCATGAGGGAGCCCCATGCGAAAGCATAATACCTGAGTGTGGAGGGCGCGGCGTCTGAAGAAATTACTGGAAATCCCACGCGAGAGCGCGACTCCTGGATAAATTGCAAAAACGTCAAACGAGAGCGCGGCTATTCAACGAATTGTGAAGAAGTATCAGGCGGGACCTGTTGTTGCAGTAGTTCGGGAGCCATCGGAAGGGTTCGGAAGAAAGCAGGATGCAGGAGGTAGGAGGCGAAAAAGAATAGGATAATGAAGAGAGGACGGAGAGGACGGAGAGGAGACCACACTGCTCTGGTCAAAACAAAGGCCTCACCAGAGGGAGGGTTGGGACAGATGCCCAAATGGCTCTCGGAGAGCTATGAGTGTTTCAGATGAGAAGACGGCAGCACAAGGTAGGCCAGCTTCCTCTCGACGGCGCCCAGGCAGGCATCCTCGCAGCAGCCTGCTTGAGGTTGCAGCGTGTCCCGAAAGCGTTTTCCGACTCGTTCCCCACACGCGTGCCGGAAGCGTTTGCGAAGCTCCTTCGAAGCGCTTGGGAGGCTCGTGCCAAGCTCCTACGACTCAGCGCTTTCCATTCATCCTTTGAAGCGTCCCTGCAAGCACCTCCTCGATGCTTCCCAGCTCCCAAGCACCCATGCAAACGTCCTTGCAGGCGTGCCTTGCTAGCATTCCAGGGCATCCCCCTAAGAGCTCAAACATTTGCTAGAGTAGAAGCCGGCACCGCAGGGTAGCCCCGGAGCTCGTTGAAAGCTTGCGGCAGGCCACCTCGCAGCGCCTCCTGTGAACCGGCAGCGTGCTCCGGCGGGCCTCTGCGAACCATTCCTGGATAGCTCCCTGGAGCAGAAGGGCTTCAGAGAAGAAGCCAGCGCGTGGGTGGTGAGCGGCGCACCCCCACCCTCGCCGCTCCACGGTCCCCTGAGCGGCCTGCCAAGCCAGGCAGCGTGTCCCGAAGCGCTCTCCCCACTCGTTCCCAACACGCTTGCCGCAAGCCTCTCCGCATCTCCCGCGAAGCGCCTCAGGAGCTCCTGCGCAGTCCTGCGCAGCTCCTTTCTCGAGCTTGCAAGCTACCCAGACCCCCGACGCCATGGTTTTTGTTCATTACGTTGACCCCCCGAGGTCTCGACCCATTCCCTGGGACCGGTTTTTCATCCTGCGTTTTTTGACGGTCCTGAGGCCCAGTAAGGGGCCAGAGGCCGAAAATAGCAAAGAACCTCCCGTCGTAATTCTTTCGTTGCTCGAGGGGGATCTGGGTCCCCAGATACGGTTTCAGGCGTTCTTGCAAGCGTATCCCACAAGCCTTTTCCACGCTGTGGACTGGTCCACTATCCGGATTTGGGACGCTACAGTGGAGGCCAGTCCACAAGAAACCTTCCACACGAAACCCAACCCTGAGACCCCCAGGACGTCCACTGGTTTCTGGTGTGGGAACGTCACGATTTCCATCGCAAAACCATCGAAACCCGAGAAACCCAGGGCACCCTGGAGGCATGCAGGGTATTTCTTGGCCTGGGTCTTCACTGTACACGCGCCGCCGCTCCCCGCACCACGCCCTCTGGGTGCGTTCTGGCTGGGCTTCCGGGGCGGCGGATCTGGCGATGGCGACGACCCAAACCTCCAAACTCTTAGAGCAACTCGAGGCGAAAGGGCTGTTTCCCCAGACCCCCTCGAGCAATGAAAAAATCATGACCAGAGGTTTTTCGCCACTTTCAGCCTCTGGGGGGCCCTAACCGGGCCTCAGGACCGTCAAAAAACGATTCAGGATGACAAGCCGGTCCCGGGGAATAGGTCGAGACCTCTGGGGGTCGACGTCATGAAAAAATCATGACGTCGGGGGCCTGGGTCTGTGGACGAATCGAGACCCCAAGGACCGCGGGACACAAGAGGGCGAAAACGACGGCAGGGCATCGGCATACCACAAAAGTTTTCGCCGAATTACGCCTCCATGTCTCAGACCTGGGCCCCGAATGCCGCTCAAAAACGCTCCGAGGACCCCTCCTGGGGTGAAGACAGCTCCCGGATGCTGGGCTCAAGGGAGACACCTCTGGCTCGCGGTCACCATGCTCGGCTCACCAAGGTCCCCGACGCCATACATCTTTCTTCGCAGCGTGGACCTCCATGAGACGTCTGGACCCCTTCCCCGGGACCGGTCTCATTTCGGCGGTGGACAAACCTCCCTTTAGTAAACCTCCCCTTAGTGAAAACGGCCTGGGACCGAAACCGACGGACCTGGACCCGCAAAAATGACGGCCGCGACGCCCTCCCGCGAACCGAAAACGGCAAATTCCTTAGTCGACGTGTCCGGGTAGGAGATCGATCCACCTCCGATCATTCTGTCATCCCGCGATCCACGGGGGGGTGCGACAGATGGGGGGGGGGGGGGCAGCGAGGGCTGCAGCAAAGGTGCCCTTGAGGGGGCCCTGAGGGGCCCTTCGGGGCCCAGAAGGGGGCCCTCGGGGCCCGAAGAGGGCACCTCTCTCCCCCCCCCCGACTCAGCGTCCCCCCATGTGAACGTATTCTGATTCGGCGTTCCGAAATTGGGCGGATGGGGGGGGGAGGGGGGGGTCTGGCTCCGGACCTCTGCTCAGCGCGACTGTTTGCAAGAGTGCGTCCTGTGAACCTGCTCGAAACAGGCGCCAGAAGGAGCCAAGATCCACTCCACGGGGAGGGGGGAAGGGGGGGTGCGAGGGCCCGCGCCGATCGGCAAAACTGATGGGCCTGTTTTCCACCACCACTCCTCCTCCTCCTCCCTCCTCCTCCTCCTCCTCCTCCTCCTCCTCCTCCTCCTCCTCCTCCTCCTCCTCCTCCTCCCCGTCCTCCTCCTCGTCCTCCTCCTTTCCCCTTCTAACTTATAGTGGTGGTGGTGGAAAACAGGCTCATCAAAAACAATGAATCAGAAAAGGATCGCCACGAATTCGCGCCCAAGAGTTGTTTCGTTGACGGCTCCGGGGCCCGGCAGGGGCTTCGCTCGGCGGCGAGCGAGGGGGGGGAAGTGAGAAGGAGCACGCCTTCTCAGAAGGCGGCGGGACTGCTGAGAAGCCCCCAGGCCTTCCGAGAAGGTTTCTGCGTCTCTCTGGGGAAGGCTTAGCAAACTTCTCAGAAGGCCAAGGGACTTCCGAGCCTCCTGACCCAGACCCCAGACGTCATGATTTTTGCATGACGCCGACCCCACGAGGTCTCGACACATTCCCCGGGACCGGCTTGTCATCCTGGATTGGTTTTGACTGTCCTGCGGCCCGCGGTACGGGCCCCCAGGGGCAGAACAATGATGAAAAGCCTTCAGTCGTGCTGTTCGTCATCGCTCCAAGGGGGGTCTGGAGAGAAGGCCTTCGCCCTCTCGCGTCCCTCCCGGGCTCGCCGCCGACCCGCGAGGAGGCCGAGAGTCCACAGGAGCGCGCCTCCCGCCGGGAGCGTATCGCGCCCCACAAGCACTGGGTTCGGGCGCCCCGGTCGCCGCCGCCGGGCCGCCGTTCCACGAGCGGGGAGTGGTGGACCCGCTGCGGATGCTGCGGCTCGCGCCTGGGGGGGCAACGCTTCGGGGGGGGGGGGGGGGGGCTGGCGCAGTGAAACAGGGGCCGACCGCCCCAGCAGTCCCACAGAGAGGGGCCCAGGGACGCACCGCACAGATAAATGCACAGAACTCCCAGGATCCCCCATATGTTCCATATCTTCTGCGTTTTAGTATTCCCCCCCCCACTTCCCATATGTTCCCGCATTTTCCTTGGGATCGACGATTGATTGTATCTGTGTGTGTTAGTTCCCTTCCTCGCTATAGGCCTACCACACAACTCTCTCACGGCCCAAGAGAATGTCCTGACGACAAAAGCAGCGCTCTCGGAACACAGCCCCCCGACGTGCCAAAACGAGGCAGCCCAGCCAGAAATGCTCTAAGAACCTCTGGTGCACAGGCGGTTCTTAGAACAGTCTTTGGTTCGGCGGTGGACAAGCCTCCCTTTAGCAGACCTCCCCTTAGTGAAAACGGCCTGGGACCGAAACCGACGGACCTGGACCCGCAAAAATGACGGCCCCGCGACGCCCTCTCGCGAACCGAAACACGGCCAAGATCTGAATCGACGTGTCAGGGTAGGAGGTCGATCCACCTCCGATTGGTGGGCCTGCAGGCAAGCCGGGAGGCGTCGCCACTGCTTCACGGAGGGGACATCGACCTGGAATCGGCGCTGCATCGCCGACGGATCGGCGACGGGCCCCCGCCAGACAACCCGCACGCCCCTGGACGGGGAGGGCAATCGGGCCACTGCCGGCGAGGAGTACAGTCAAGGCGTTGACCTAAGGAACCCCCAATAAGGAACGAGGCCCCGATTTTCCATAAGTTGAACTTCGATTTCGTATCGAAAACCTAAGGAAAATCCAAGGCAAGCTGCGAACCAAGTAAGGAACACGGAGCCCCTCCCCAACGAAAAGGGTTCCTTTTCAGGGCCCCGACTGTAGGCGACGTGGGATCAATGCGTCCCCCCACCCGAGCCTCACCCCCCCCCAAGCCATCCAGCACACGGGCCCCCAAACCACTCGATCGACCACGCCCCTGGGGGCCGCGTTTTTGCCCGAGCCGGGCTCTGACGGCCCCGGCCCCGAGGCCCAGGAAGGGCCCCGGGACCCGCGCTTCATCCCGAGGCGTTCTCCGACGGCCCCGGGGCCCAGCAGGGGCCCCGAGAGGCCGAAGAGAGGGCGAAGACCTCCGCCTCGATTTATCGCGGCGCCGGGACGTCTGGGAGCGTGGCCCCCGACAGCCCAGGGCGCCTCGAGCCGAGGAGGCGCGGCTTCCTCCGGCGCACGGGAACTCCCGCGAGGCTGGCATGGCCCGCGCGCGCGGGCGCGCGGGCGGCGGGCGGTGTGGGGGCTCGAGGCGAGGCGGTTGCGGGGGCGGGGCAGGCGAGGGCGGGGGAGAGAGGGGGGGGGGGGGGGGGAAACGGCAGATGGTGGCAAGGGGCGCCCTGAGGTCCAGGAGGCCTGCGTTGTGGAGGTGCGCTGGCACCCCTCCCTGTGGCCGTCTTCGTTGGCCGAGAGGCCGCGAGGGAGGGCCTTGGCCCCCTCCGGCGCCTACGGACGGCAAGGCGCACTGCGCCTATGAACGGCAAGGTGCAGGTGGGCAGAAGGCCCCAGACCTCCAACGCCCTGAAAACCCATGGCGGTGGACTTGATGCCGCTCTCGGCCTCGGGCCCAGGCCCCCGACGGCATGAGTTGTTCACTTCGTCGGCCCCCGGAGGTTTCGACCCCCTTCCCCAGGACTGGTTCTTCGTCCCGAGTCGTTTCGGTCCCGAGGCCCGGTATAGGGCCCCAGATGCCGACAATAGCGGAAGCCCTCCCGTCGTGATTTCTTCATGACTCGAAAAGGTCTGGGGGGGCCCTCGCTGGCCCCACCGCGATCAAGACACGATCCGGGACTCCTCCTCCTCCTCCTCCTCCTCCTCCTCCTCCTCCTCCTACTCCTCCTCCTCCTCCTCCTGCTGGAAGGTTTTGCACGAGCTTCTGCCTCTGAGGGCCCTTACTCACCAGGCCTAAGGACTGTCGAGAAACGAGGCAGGCCGAAAAACGGGTCCCGGGGAACAGGTCGAGACTCTGGGGGGCCGACGTCCTCAAAAAACAATGACGTCGGGGGTCTGGGGAGGGGGGATACGGCAGTCGGATTCCGCGGCGTGGAACTCATGTGTTTGCAAGGGCGCGTCCTGGAGTTCGGACCTTCTTGCCTTCCTCGTCGCGACTTGTCGCGTCGTCGTCTAGTCGTGGCCTTGCCCTGGGGCCCCCCCGACCCTGGCCTCCCTCAGGGGGCGCGCAAGCATGGAGTAGCGATCCATGGCTTCGGCGCGCGGTCGCCAAATCCATGGATCGGGGGAGGTGCCCTCCCCAAAATGCGGCCGGTGCCGCCTCGCTCGGCGGCGGAGGTCCGCGATGTCTCAGGACATCGGGGCCCGTCGCTAATCCACGCCCCCTTGATCCATATTTGCGATCGTCTGACTTCCTGGTCTCCCTGGTACTGCCCCGGCTCCTGGCCTCCCTGTGGGTCTCTTGGCCTCGCTGCCCCGCCCCGGCCTGGCCTCCCCTGGCACTGTCCCCCTCCCAGGGGGGAGTTTGCACGAAAACTAAGAACAGCCAAAACCTCTTACAAAAATAGCCACAAATAGGCGAACAAGCGTCCCCAGACTATATTGTTTACTACCTTGGAGCATTCCTCCTGTAGAGGGACGTGCCCGACCCAACCAGGGCCCCCTCCCGGGGCATCGGACTGCTTCACTCTCGCCCGCCGTGCCGTGTCGTGCCGTCGCGGCGTCGTGGCCTTCCCGGACCCCCCTGCCCTAACATCTCCCCGGTGGCCCTCTGATCTCCCTGGCCTCTCCGCCGTCTCCGCCGGCCATCGTCCCCGCCATCTCCGCCGCCGTCCTCGCCCTGCCTCCCTGCCGCCGTCTCCGACCTCTCCGCCGCCGGCGTCGTCGCCGCAAGGCACCTTGTGACTCGTCATCGCCAGCGTCGTCAGCGCCGCTCCCGTTGCCGGTCACCGCCGTCGCCCTCGCCGTCCATCTCCTCGTCGCCATGATCGCCACCACCGCGGTCATCGCCGCGGCCTTCGTCGCTCCCGAGGGGCGCGTGCTCACGAGCCCCGCGGTCTCCGACCACGCTGGCTCGCCGATGGCACATTGGTATGCCGGCGCCGCCAAGTCGCGCCTTCCCCCCCCCCCGAATCTCGACGCTGCGGTACCGTTGGCCTCCTTACCAAGCCGCGCACCATGCGAGACATCAAACGCACGACCACAGCCATTCCCATCTACAAGTGGCTCGATCGGAAACTCGCCACCACGGCCGACCCGTCCGACTGCGGCGACATGTTCGAGGCGCTGCACTGCTTTCTCGCAGGGAACCACCTACAGGTGCGCGTCTGGCGAAAGTCCCTCGGGCACATGGGTGGCTGGACTGACGAGGACGCCGTCGACGGGCACGCCGCTCTCGAAGCGGTCTGCCGCGCCTGCGCGTACATCGCCGTCGCCCACCGCGCCCCTGCGTTGTCCCCCCCGACGTCTCCCAGGTGCAATCTCCCATTGGGGATGCCGGCCAGGAGCGCATCCGCGGCCTCGCGTGCCACCGCTCTCAGCGTGCTGTCCCAGCTGTCAGCACTCGCGCCTCCACTGAGGGGCGCTACCTGCACGCATGCCTCGTCGACATGGGCTGTTCCCAGCCCGCCACAACCGCAGCTGACGATCCCCGCACCTACCCTCGGGCGTTCTCTAATCGCTTCGGCGTTCCCCGTTCTATTCTCCATCCGCCAAGGCCGTGCGACGGGCTCCCCCTGAGGCCCCCTCCGCATCGCCAACGACCGCTTCGACCTGGACAACCCCGCGTTTCAGCGCGTCGCGCGCCGCTCCTGGTAAGTTACGGCCCAGTGGACGACAGGGGCTGCCCCATCTGCCCGCTGGGCCTCTGCCGAGCTCAGCAAGAGCATCGCGTCGGCCACGCGCATGCTCCGACGCAACAGGGCCGCTGGCGTCTGGCGCTGCCGTGGGCGCGCCGACTTCCACCCTGACGAGAGGACTGCCCCCGCGCGGAGCCGCGCTGGATGAGTCCAGGCCCCCCAGAGGCTGGGGCCCTGCTGCCTCTATCGCCCCTGGCACGGCCCCGGCGAGGCCGGTCGGGCCCGACGGGCACGAGGCTCCCCCGCGCGGTCTCGCAGAGCTCCTCAACCCGAAAAACGTCGACGACGACCGGCTCCCCGCCAGCGCGCCCATCACTACCCGCGCCGCCTTCGACAACGGGTTCGGCCTCGAGCTCGGCCCCACCACGTTCCACTGCGACCTTTCGCGGCGGCGGCCTCCTCGCCCCGCGCCGCCCCAGCGCGGCCGGCGGCGGCGAGCCCGTCGGTTCGTTCCTCTTCCGCGCCGTCCCCGGTCGGGACCTGCAGCTGTCGACTACACTGCAGGGGCCCCAGGACACACAAATAAATGCACACAAATAAAAAGATTCCCCATATGTTTAAATATTTTCTGGGTTTTTGTCTTCCCACCCACTTCCCATATTTTCCATGTTCTGGGGAATGGAGGATTAATTGTGTCTGTGTGTTTCTTTCCCTCCTGATACACGTAGGAATGACCCTACGCCAGAGTGACCTTTGGTGCGCGGCTTCATGGGCGCCCGTGGGGGCCCAACGCCATCGCGCAAGCCGGCGCTGCCGCGCCGCATCAACGATCGGCGGGACGCCATTCGCCTGATTTTTTCCCAACCCTCCTTGGTTGGGTATTCGTTTTGAATAGAGCAGTGGTCGCGTCCCTCCTCCCTCCCTTCCTCCCTCCCTGCCTCTTCCTGTCTTGCCTGCGGGGGGCTGAGATCTGTGAAACTGTCGCCATTTTCGAGGCCTGCTGGGGGGCCCAGCACAGTGAGGGCCACGGGCAGATTCAAATTAGACCTCGCCATCCCTGGGGGGCTGCGATCTGTGAAACTGTCGCCATTTTCGAGGCCTGCTGGGGGGCCCAGCACAGTGAGGGCCACGGGCAGATTCAAATTAGACCTCGCCATCCCTGGGGGGCTGCGATCTGTGAAACTGTCGCCATTTTCGAGGCCTGCTGGGGGGCCCAGCACAGTGAGGGCCACGGGCAGATTCAAATTAGACCTCGCCATCCCTGGGGGGCTGCGATCTGTGAAACTGTCGCCATTTTCGAGGCCTGCTGGGGGGCCCAGCACAGTGAGGGCCACGGGCAGATTCAAATTAGACCTCGCCATCCCTGGGGGGCTGCGATCTGTGAAACTGTCGCCATTTTCGAGGCCTGCTGGGGGGCCCAGCACAGTGAGGGCCACGCGCGGATTCAAATTAGACCTCGCCATCCCTGGGGGGCTGCGATCTGCGAAACTGTCGCCATTTTCGAGGCCTGCTGGGGGGCCCAGCACAGTGAGGGCCACGCGCGGATTCAAATTAGACCTCGCCATCCCTGGGGGGCTGCGATCTGCGAAACTGTCGCCATTTTCGAGGCCTGCTGGGGGGCCCAGCACAGTGAGGGCCACGCGCGGATTCAAATTAGAAAGACCTCGCATCCCTGCGCTGCTCGAAACTGTCGCCATTTTCGAGGCCTGCTGGGGGGCCCAGCACAGTGAGGGCCACGGGCAGATTCAAAATGAGACCTCGCCATCCCTGGGGGGGCTGCGATCTGTGAAACTGTCGCCATTTTCGAGGCCTGCTGGGGGGCCCAGCACAGTGACGCCACGGGCAGATTCAAATTAGACCTCGCCATCCCTGGGGGGCTGCGATCTGTGAAACTGTCGCCATTTTCGAGGCCTGCTGGGGGGCCCAGCACAGTGACGCCACGGGCAGATTCAAATTAGACCTCGCCATCCCTGGGGGGCTGCGATCTGTGAAACTGTCGCCACTTTCGAGGCCTGCTGGGGGGCCCAGCACAGTGGGCCACGGGCGGATTCAAATTAGACCTCGCCATCCCTGGGGGGCTGCGATCTGTGAAACTGTCGCCACTTTCGAGGCCTGCTGGGGGGCCCAGCACAGTGACGCCACGGGCAGATTCCTCTGAAACCTCGCCATCCCTGGGGGGCTGTGATCTGTGAAACTGTCGCCATTTTCGAGGCCTACTGGGGGGCCCAGCACAGTGAGGGCCACGCGCGGATTCAAATTAGGCCTCGCCATCTCTGGGGGGGCTGCGATCTGTGAAACTGTCGCCACTTTCGAGGCCTGCTGGGGGGCCCTGCACAGTTACGCCACGGGCATATTCAAACGAGACCTCGCCATCCCTTGGGGGCTGCGATCTGTGAAACTGTCGCCACTTTCGAGGCCTGCTGAGGGGCCCGGCGCAGTGACGCCACGGGCAGATTCAAATGAGACCTCGCCATCCCCTGGAGGCTGCGATCTGTGAAACTGT